ACTGCAGTGCCGACTCGGTATCCAGCCCCTCAGCACCGTCTGCGTTTCGCAGCTTACAACTGCGCCTCTTATGCCACTGGCTTCAACTGGCGATGTGTTTGAGATCATATCGTTGGGAGGTCCACAACAGGAGTGCAGAGAACGTGTGGAAGGGGTGGTTCTAAAGGGATTGAAGCAGAGGGTGCTTGCGGTGCTTTTACCGGCTGTTAGGCGTTACCTGCTTTGCCGTGATCCCAACCGCTATGTCTTGCTGCAGCAGCAATGGCTGGCTGCTCGCCAGAGTCGGGACACGAGTGTGGAGAAAGTAGCCGCAATGTTACCAGAGGAGCGGGGGAAAATTATGTGGCTGGAGCAACTCCGCCGGCTTGTACTGTTGCTCTGCAAGAACCTCCGCAGCAGGGTTTGTTTCGTCGAGTCAGGGGCGACAGGTCCGTGGACCCCCTGTCCCGCTGCGCTGCAGTGGGAGAGCGTACTCGAAGGAGACGACGAGTTGCCCTCTGGCAACAGCCACACTGACAGTCGCACCGGCGTCAGTGATAAGGGCCTCGACCTTGAGAACAGGTGGGAATCAGCGGACTCATGTACACTTGGTAGTTCCTTTTTCTTGGCTTGGAATGTGGCAGAAGAGGCGCTGGGCACTGCTATACTGCGGCTGGAAAGTACAGACTGCAGGACCAACGGTTGCAAGGAATTATCCAAGATATTTGCTTCGGTGCCTGTGGACGAACTGCAAGAACAGTTGCTACCATCGTTTCCTGGAGAGGTTTTCGGAGAGCTATCACGGCTTTTCTCTCTTAAGGGACAAAGAGACGACTGCCTTGCCTCCTTCCTTGTACTATTTTATTCAAAGCTTCAGCACCGACTTCTGCAGTGGCTCATGAGGCCACCAGAGGGCGGCTTCCTGCAGTGGTTGCAAAGGCTGCTGCCGTGCAGCAGCGAATTATGCTGCAGACTAACTGCTGTTGTAATGACTGTTGTTCTAGGGACTGCTGTGGAGGATTGCTTGAGGGCTGAAGGCCTTTGGTATGGGCCACTTGACACTGTGGAATCACAGCAGCAATGCGTTGCTGGCTTGGAAGAAATGAAACGGCCTCGCAGTAGTAGTTTAGCTGCTGCATGTGCTGTCAGTGCTGGATCTGGAGATGCTGTGACGCCGGGAAATCGTGTGCTTCTGCGTCTGCTCAAGGACGAGTCCGCAGCCGCTGTTGAACTGCTAGGGTCTTCAAAACGTTCGATGAAAGGTTCAACTTGGCTTCTGAGGGACGCGTGGTTTGTCCTTGTGGCGACTGACGGTGCATCGGTGGACGGTTCGGCAACGGTGTACGACGGAGAGTCAGAGGACGCTGCAGAAGAGGCAGGAAGCGTAGTACAGCCAAAGGCACAATTAATTGGCGTCGTAGGTGAGACTGGCGTGGAGGGGTTTTCACTTGCGGACGTGCGCGCTGAAAGGACAAGTACCTCGCCAAAAGGTGTACCATCGGGTGTACAGAGATGTGATGGGGAGGAAGTGCGCGCAGCAGAGAAGATCACCGAGTCAAGAGGTAGTAGCGTTGGCAGCATTAGCAGCGGCGACAGTGTTGTGGAGGAACTACATTCAGAGGGGTGGGGTGAGCGAAATATGACTTCGGCGGCAGAGCGGTGGGTAGAAGATTGTCCCCGCATGACTGTGATAACTCCAGAAGAAGCCCTTTTCAGCTCACTTCACTGTTCGGGTAACGACAATGGAAGAAGCGATTTGCACAACGTACGCTTGGCGGAAGGCCAGAGGCAGTGCCTGGAGGAAAGTTTCCAGCAAGCCCACAACAGAGACAGTCACGTGGCTCTTGGAGACTTTGATGCACAGGCGGTTGATATCAGTCCCCAGTGAGGAGCGCACGAGCAAGCATAGAATATGGGACGCAGTCACACTACTTGGGCCTGCGCTAGTGTAGCGGAAAGAGGCAGGGGCAAATGCAGAAGTGAAGTGGGCTGGCCAGGCCTGCTCGAGAGGCCGTAATGCTTCATGCTAATGAGTGAAATTAAAGCTTTTTTCGTGCTTTACTGTGTCTAATAGGGATCGAGATGCTGCTGCGCCTTTTGTTGCAACAAGCTCGTCGAGTGCAGCGTCTGCTGTCGCTGCGAGAAGGGGAGAGGCGCTAGTGTACCAGTATCTGCTAAGGCAGATGCAGCAAGAGATAGCAGATAAGACCGTACAGGTGTTGTGGCTGAATGAGGAGCAAGAAAGCGGACAGAGCTACGACATACTCATCAAGGTAATTGTTTCCAGGTGAAAAAGATGCCAATAGAGCATCTCGGCAACCGCGCCTGTCCTCTGGAATAGCTGAAAGCTGACTGCCTGACTTTTTTGGCCAGTTTATGACTATTTACAGCATCCTTGTTGATGTTGCAGGAGTACCCTCCCGTGGGAACCTCTGCTCCCCCACGTATGACGTTCGTGGAGGTCAAGAGCAGCACGACAGCAAACAAGTACTACTTTGAGATATCACACAGAGAGTGGAACTTGGCTCAGCAGCATGTAAGGGAGTTGCTTTGGGCCCTTTTTATTTGCATTCGTGGACTTGCATTTTTGTTTTCATTGCCACTGGACGTCGTGCGTCAGTCGAGGGTTGCAAAACTTAGCTTGATTGGTCCCCTGTGTGCAGCTCAATTTTTACGGGTAATCTTGCAAGTTCCCTTAGTAAAGACACTTACGGGTCATTCAGTTTTCCGGTGCGCGGTGTCTCTATTGTACGTTTGTCTGCTTGGTCAATAATTGTAAGCAAGGGCCTTCACTTGTTTCCAGGGAGATAACTTTCATATATACCGGGTCCTTGAAGCAAACTCCTCACAGCCACAGATCTTTCGGTGAGTACCCACCCAACATCACTTGTCGATATCACAGCATTTTGCTCTGCAGACACTGTATCACATTCGCTTGGCAGCGACTAGGCAGCACGCAGGGCACGACCTCTGTGCGGCCGTCTTCCGCGTCCAAGATCTCAACACGTTCACAAGGTCGTGGGGATTGCCAGTCGTATCAACAATTTCAAGGTTTCTCCGGGTGCTGTGGCATTGCTGTTCAGCATTGTCAATCCGTACATGCAGTGGAAGCATAAGCGCATCGGCATGTGCATAGCGATTTAATGAGGAGGACAAGTGTGTTTCGAAGTCTTTTGTGAGCACTACCATATTCATTTTGACTCCCTTAGTATGGGTAAGTGGTTGGTAGTTTGCTTCTTCAAACAAGGTGAACTAGGGACATCGTCAGCCTGATTCAAGCCCTATGGTGAATGGGTAACAGCCTATACTAAGTGCAGCAGACGGGGAGCTACAGTGGCTTACTGCCATATTCATTTTGACTCCCTTAGTATGGGTAAGTGGTTGGTAGTTTGCTTCTTCAAACAAGGTGAACTAGGGACATCGTCAGCCTGGTTCAAGCCCTACGATGAATGGGTAGCAGCCCATACTAAATGCAGCAGACGGGAAGCTATAGTGGTTTTCAAGTATGTCCTTAAGACATTGATGTAGACTGTGTTGCCAGACACTTGGCGTCTATAGGGACTGCAGTAGAGGCTTTGACTGATCTTCCTATTCTAGCCAGACCAAAAATGAAACTGCCGCAAATAAAGTGAATTCTATGCGCAGTTACCCCGGAGGAGACCCTAGTAGGATTAGGAGGGCTTTTATGTTTCGCTGAGCCACGAATCTTCCGGCTAAAAAAAGCCCCGAGCATAGCTATTTTTGCTTATCGGGGTGCTCTTAAGCAAAAGGCAATAGTCCTCTTCAATTGCAAGCTGTACTGGCGAGGGATTCGGCTCTAGGGGAATTGCAACAATGGTTCACAACGCAGGTGTTGTCGTGACAGATACCTACATTCAAAGGCTTGAGCAATGTGGGTTGAAACGTGTTGCTTCGACTTCACGTCAGTTCAGCCCACGCTGTTTTTTGCGGCAAGCTGGTGAAGAAGGGGTCTCATGTATAAGCATTTTGTGTTCTGAACTAGATTGGCCTTGTGCTGCACGTTGCCGTCAAAACGGCTGACGGATTTAGCTCGCAGAGTTCCCGGTTTCTTGGTCTGTGAACTCTTGTAAGGTAGTCACAACAATGCAACGGCATGCGGTGCCTCAAGACAAGGAATCCTGAGGTATGTAACTTGGGAGGCCATCCTGCTGCACACAACTACCCCATAGTTTGCACGGATGTACCGTGAAATCTCCACTGTTCAGTCGTTCCTTCAACGGTTGAATGCTTCACATTACTTTGAAACTTGGCAAGTATCAAATACATTTCCTAGGCATTTTCCAGCTGTAACAGCTTACACAGAGATCCTGCATTTTATCTACAGGAAGTCGCTAGTTTTGCGTAACAACGTTGCTGCACAGTGGATGGGTTGTTGTTCCGCCGGCCTACAGAGAAGAAGGCCTTGGCAGCTCTATCCCATTTTTACGGACTCAAATATACAACACCTTGAATATAGGTTTCCGTTGCCTAGGTAGTGGTTTTCTCGTCAGTTTACCAATATACCTTTGAGTGGTGCATATGCAAGCGAGGCCCTACACATCTAAAATAGGGGGAGGTCTTTCTTAATTGCATCGGAAGAGTAAGCTTTGATCATCAATCGTCAATCGTTGAAGTGATGCTTTTTTATCGACTCAGTGTGACGCATGGAGCTCGAACGGATTGTGCGCCCAGCCCCACTTGGGCCCCTGCTTCATTTGCTGCTGAGAGCTGTCTTCAAAAAGTATCCCAAAAAGCTACGCTACGTTTCGAGACAGTAGTTTAGCAGCATTTCATGAAATGCATTGTGCAGAGGCTAGCCGCTGGCAAGCACTTTTTGAGAGGGCCTCTTCGACTTTGTGGGGCAGCGCACACTCGCTCGCCTCTTGTTGAGCTTAGAGTGATAGCAAAAGTACTGGGACTGGACGGCGAAGTTAGAGCTACTGCGTTTGGTAGCCATTTAGAATATGGCGAGAGGGATGTTTACAGGCCACCAGGTGTCTGTGGCTAAATCAGCTGCCGTTATGAAGGCCAGCCCTTCGACCCGCACAGCCAAGGGAAGGTCACACGTGGTTCTGCAGAAAAACAAACATGTATACACCCCGTCCTTGGCACGACGGTATCACGGGTCAGTAGGGTGGCTTAAGGCATTTACTCATACTTGTAGACACGTCCGTGTCTGTAGCCAGCTGCTCAGCGGGCCCGCATCTGAAATGTGCTTTTTTTGTTGCAGTTTCTGCCCGTGGAAAGAAAGACCCAATGGAGGGGCTTTGCCGGAGATCGATCGCATAGTAGTTGACGAGCACATCTCTTCCTGCAACGATTGCTGCGATGCGAGTCTCAAGAGGAATGGAAGGGGGGACGAAGTTATTTGCACCCGTTGTTTCTTCAACAGCTTCATAATAAAAAGGCGGCCTTGCCTATTGCGGCTTGTGAAGAGCCAAAACCAAGACGACGGGCGGACAGAATATTCGTTGGCTGACTGCCGGGCCCTCCGGTACTGGAAGGATCTCGATTACTTGGACCAGGCGGCTGGGGATGAGACAATTGACGTGGAGGTTAGGGACACTAAAATGCCCGACAGCTTCGGTGCGGATTTTTACCGGTTCATATTTTTGGCAGATCCATTTACAGGAAGGAGACTCGGAGCTCTTGCGGGTGGGACGCCAACAGTTACTGACGGCGTTGAGTGGAATTGCTGTGCTTCTGCAGGAAGGGGCCAGTACAAGCAACTCGGCTTCAGAGAAGTCTTAAAAAGACTAAGGGAAGGAGATACCTCTCTTTACGTCAGCACACAACGCATCGCTAGTGACAAATATGGTACAGTTAATATCTTCGGCTAAAAGGCCACCGCCAGCAACACCCGCGTCTTTTGGTGACTGCTGCCGGGGACCTTGCTGCTTGTGCGCCTGTAGCAATTTCTTGTAGGGAAGATCTCAGCGTGTGTGCTCGCGAACAGATATTGAAAGGTTTGCGCACGGTTTTTGTGAGCACAGCCAATAAGTGATCTGTTCTGGAAGGCGACGCCGTTTGACTTTTTTGCCGTATTGGCATATTGCCTTCTTGGAGCCGTTCAAAGCTCCCTGTGATATGCATGTTTTGCTTCGAGTGAGCGAAAAGCGTAGGAAAAGGGAATTTGCAAATTTAAAGGTGTTGATCTTCCCTTGTTGACTCTTCTGCGAACGTGTTCTCCAGGCCCTAAGTTGCTATGCGGACCTCCCCTCAGCAAATCACTGTCTTCCGATTTCCCCGTAAATCCTGCCATTGCTGGGTAAGCCGTGTAGTTGGTAATGAGGTTGGCTTATGTCTCGCACACGCGGCAGGATTTCCAGTACAGATGGCGTATTTTACGAGCAGGAATTTGGTGCCGTCTCAGTTCAACATCTGGATGGGGCACAGTTGTGTAGGAAGTAGCACCGGCTTGCACCATGATTTTCACGACAACTTTTATTGCCTCGTGCGAGGTAAGCACGACAGTACCTCACACCATCCCCCGCATGTGGCCGGCTTTGCCCCTGAAGGATATCATTGCAGCAGCAGCCTGTATAGATCATACAGGTATTGCTGCTGCAGCAGTTACGAAGCTGGTGTTTTTTGACGCTTCAGGACGGAAAGAATTCAGGCTGTACAGCCCTCGTCTTTGTGAGCTCCTGCGCACCCAAGGCATGGCCAAGCCGTTAAGTGCTCCTTCTGTCCACCCCAATGGCTTAATTTCGTACATCAGAGGCATCCGAGAAGACGGTGAGGATAGCGCCCTGTCAGGGTGAGAACTAGGTAGTGAAGACTTAGTTTACAAAGCTCGCTCAGAAGTCGTACACTGACCATGGATTTTTTGTTGTTGACAAATTCTAGCAGTGAGCAAAGGGGAAGCTCCGCTCGCTCCCCTCTGGTTTGGAACCAATTTCTCACATTCAGCAGGCGTTGCACCGTACGAAACTTTCGTGTGTATCCCTCAGGCGCGCATGAACTGTCTGTCCTTCGAACTCGTCAGCTCACTCTTGAGCGAACAACAAATGCGCTGCGAGAACAACTGGCCGGTTGCGAAAAGAGGCTGCAAGCGGCTTCAGAGGGAAAGAACACTACAGAACTGAAGATGGAAGCAAAAAAACTGAAAGACATGCTGGACCATGCCGAGTCAGAGTAATTCAGCACTATATATATGCACTACTTCCAAGCGTTGCTGTTTCTCTTTTAAGTCAGAACCAGTAGGGCCCTACCAGACTTACACGGTTGTTCAGCAGCTGCAAGCTTGGTGCGTCCCCATATTCGTTTAGGCTTGATCATTGCCTCGAGGCAGCACTCGATGCAGCGGCTTACGAAAGCGGCGTCGATGATGATGACTCTACATCAAACGACAGCGAGCTGATGGAGGTTAGCAACTGAAGTCCCTCTCCAATGCACCAGAAGCTTCTTTTAGTCGTTGAACTTATTCCTTCATAGCGCACGAAGTTGTTCGCTGGCAGAACGTATGCTCTGTTGCAGGGTCGCCTGGTGCAAGAAGGAGCGTATCCGGATCACTTCTGTCTTACAGGCACGGAACAGCCATGTACAAGTAGGCAACATTCTTAATGCTGCTCAGCGAGATGCCGCGTTCTCGGTAATAGCCATGTACAGGCAGGCAACATTCTAAATGCTTCTCAACGGGATGCTGCGTTCTCGGTTTTTGGTCATTTATATTTCGGTTCAACTATCGCTTCGTGCATTCAGCATCGTGGGACGGGCCGCTGAACGCCGCCAATGTATTGAAGAGATTCTGGAGTGTGTGGGTTGAAGAAGGAGATATTTGTAAGGTTCACGAATGTCTTCCTCCCGACTCAAATTTGATTTTCGTCTCCCAACGCCGCGCAAACATCCTTCGGGTCTCGACCCACGGCGAATGTGTACCTTGTGGCTTTTGCTATATTTCCGAGCAGTTCAGCTCTCAGACGAACTCTCAGCAGGAACAGTTCTAGCGATTTCCTACTCTAGCTAACAAAAAGAGCCCATCTGTGTGCTGCTCCCTCGCAGTGTACCTTCCGGCCAGCTGGTTTCACGAGGTCATCTCATACTCTTCGGGCACCCAGAAAGACTCAGAGAAACTCAGCGGAACGCCTGCTGACACAAAAGACAGTGTTCATTTGGCATTCAATATCTGGATGCACCCTCCATGCTTAGATGGTACATTTGAAAAGCCGTACATTGACGGCTACTGGGCCCAGCACGCTGCCCAGCAAGTTGAAAAGCAGAAGGCGGCATCAGTTAGTGCACTTGTTTACAACCAGAAGTACTTAAGGGCCTTCCCTTTACAGCGACATACTGCACAGCAAGATGAACGCTCGCATCAACAAGACTCTAGTGGTGGTGCACATGGCAGTCGCTTGGCGTGCCATATACCATATAGTGCCGACGATGCAGAAGCTGTGATATCTCCACCGAAATGTGTGCGAAGTAAGTCCAGTATTTTTTCGCATGCAAGAAAGCCAGCTGGCATAATGTATTTTTCTCGTGGCCTTGCAAGGCTTCGGCGCCTATACTTACGTAGCAAGGTGTACAATGGTGAAGCTCCAAAGAACGCCCGGAGTAGTTGTCAGAACGCATAGTTTCGCTTTCATGGGTAACAGACGGTACTGGGCTTACTTACTGCTTTTGTTTGTATATCCCATCCTATCGGAATACAAGACAAGCATTTAAGACAGCGCCCACACGGGGAAGCAAGTGAGCACTATCTAGAGCAGCCATCCGTCGAACGGCGAGCGTGGAGTTTGCTCAGCTTTCACAATCGAGCCATTGTCTGAGTTGTCTGCCCACTTTGCAAACCACTCTAAAAAACTGAACCAGTTCTGGACCAGTTGCAGTAAACGTTGATTTGGGCATGACAATTTGTGGATTCGACGTAGAGCCAAGCTCACTGAGGTCACTCGCTGCTAAGGTGCCATTTACAGAAATGGTGGAGGGAGCATTCGGACTCTGCAGAAGGTTTGAAGAGTGAGAACCGTGCAGGGTTTCACTGCTCGTCTCTTCTGTAGATTATTCAGGAGCCCGGTTGCATTGCTGCTGTTACTTATTATGACGCTCTTTTTAAAGCGGGTGGGCGCTCCATGCAACCGCTTCAGCAGCGCGATTGTTTTGGTCCTCGTACTAACCATATGCTGCCATAGCTTTAGTTTTCGGGCTCTCGAACAGTTCACACTTAATCTTTTTCTGTGTGTTTTATGTTGATAACAGCTCACGCTATGCAGACATCTGGCTTCTAACCTGTTCACAAGGCGCGTAGACGCCGCAGCTTCAGCGTGCGCCATCGCTTGCACCCCCAGAGCAACACTCGTCTGTGCACATAGAAAATCTCCCCGCTTCCTCGGAATGCCAACCCTAATGGATTGACATGAAGAGCGGAATCCATCAAGGAGTGAGCCAATAAGCCCGCCTCCTGTGCCGTCGGCAATCCAGCGGTTACTTGTGCTGTCTTCATTTTTTTATTTTCCAAGTCTAACTCTGTCAGACTGTTTTAAGAGTGTGATTCTGTCTAAGGTCACACACACTCATTACACATCCTGTCAGGGGCTTGAAGGTCGTCACCCGTCGCAACATTTCCTCCCCACCTGTAACGCGGCGCAGTAGCCTGTCATCCGCTTGTCCTGCCGCCGTTTCATGGCCCTTTCGGTATAGCGCTCCTAGTGTCCTTCAGCACACAAGCTGCGTATCTACCCGCTCACTATGGCGGCCTGCGCCCACCTCGCTACAGACCTCAACGCGCACGTGGTGTACACAGCATGAGAGTCAACTGTAACTCCTGCACTATATTTCTCTTATACTCAGCCTGGGTGTTCTGTGGGCAGCTTACTATGTAATTATACTTTCATGTTCTATGATGCTGCTCTGTACCAGTTCACATTGGCCGTGTGGTGACTATCTTGAACTGGGGTTCGTACGATTTCGGGAGAAAGTATTATAAACGTGTACGGGGCGGATAGTTAAAAGGATTGACCATTTTGCCTCTGAGTTACGAGGTGTCATTCGCCATACGATCACGTCGAAGGAGTTCGGGAGACAGAGTGTGACTGCGTTGCTACCAGGCCCTCTCAGGTAAATGCATGTTGTCACTTGCTCCCTTCCCTTCAACTAAAAATTTAGGAAAGTTTTGTTAGGCTTTCCGGCCGTTTTTCGCTAGTTTGTTTGGGGCTAACAAAGGGTTCGGCGAAGCCTGCGTCTTCGGCGCCTCCTATCAAAGATAAGGGGAGGGCATGGAAAGTCTCGATTTGGAACAGTGATCATCAATGGACTGAGCGTACTGTTCACTAAATATAAGGCTCAGGCTGGATATGGAACGACTCCAACCACCAAAACTAGTGCAGCAAGTCCTGGAAGCTTCAATAATCCATGCACATACGAGAGGATTAGTTTTCCTTTGGTCTCGTTATATGGGCAAGACGGGGAAAAATTGAGTCGACGATGGTATCACCAAAAGATCCCTTCAGTTGCCTTTTATGACCCCCTTTCGTGAACCACGGTTAACGAGGCAATTTCTATGGGAAACCGTAGCAACGGTTATTGCACAGAGCAGCCAAAAATGTTGTTTTGTGTGGGACGCTGGAAGGGATTCCGTTGCGGTCTTAGTAGTCGCGACTCGCGCATCTCGATCTAAAAGCAAACAACTTAAAGGTTGCGTAAAAGTGATTGAGTTGATTTTCACTGGGAAAAGTTGATGCTGTCGGTCTGGACTGAACAGTGTAGTCCTTTAAGTCCCCTTGTGCACTGCTTCGGTGAGGCCATTCCCCTGGCCCCCGCCTATCACCTTCGCCAACAAACACATTCCCGGGCTTCCCGATTCCTTTACTGCGCTTCTAAAGGCCCCACATGAGATAGGGTACCGGAAGGGGTGTTCATGTTCCTAATCACAAAAGTGAACGGCTGCCATGGCATTCCGGCGACGTTACAACAATAGCGCAGAGTTCCACATAACAGCAAAGATCCTCTAAGCGCACGGAGCGAATAACTCACCCTCGCTCTTTAAGCCAGCCTTAGTAGACCTTACAGAAGAAGAGTACTATGGACCCTCTTTTCTTCCTCGATACTTTCCAACCTAAGCTTTGCCTCACTCATTCCCGAACGTCAGGGCATAAAAACTCACGAAACTAGATCTGTTCAGGGAACAACATACATCTCCGCTCAAGGATGCGACAATGGCTGTTAATGACTACATTCTCCACTGGCTACAGCACACTATGGTGATTAATATATACACAAATATCATGTGTATGTATGCGGCGACTCTAAACTTCGTCCCTACAATTGCAAAGATATTGAGGAGAATAGTTCACTTAAGTCGCACAATGTGGAATTTACGGTGGTTCCATGCTGCGTGGAGCGCCTGTGAAAGGAAGCAAAACGATGGGGAACAACTGTGCCGTTTCGTATTCTGTCACTTTGTACAGTACATTATTCAATGCGCAGATTTGGGAAGCATTGCGAATGCGTTAAACCAGCATAGTGAGTCGCTTAATGAAGCTTGCCACAACAAATACACACAAACAGATTGCCTGCGCATGCGTAAGCGGATGGTAAGGCGGCTTCTGTCTGGTCCCCCTTCCCTTGCCCATTGTATTCAACAGCTGGTTATAACGTCTGCTCTTATCTTGAAAATTTGTGCGCCTTATTCTTTCTGCTTGTACATATTGGGTCTTTCTTTCAAGACGCCTGGGTAGGCGCTGCTGGTCGGTCCCATGGTGCCTTACGCGGCGATGCGGCCGCTGCTTCTTCCGCGGCAAATTGGCTTCGTGTCTACTCTCACCAGTAACGGGGCGTTTCCATTTTTAAAACATGGAGGACAACATTCGCTGCTTCGTACGGGCAACAACGGGGTCGGCTCCGTTGGCGGACCCATGCGCTCGTTCAGCAGTTTCAATCACAATATCGGCCCGCACAAGTCGGATCCCCCAGCGAGCGAAAAACCCCTTTATTTAAACCGTTTTGACCAGGCGGATGACCCTGCCCTTTTCCAGCTTGAAGCACAGCAGCTGGAACAACAACGATTGCTGAAGGGGCAAACGTCAGACATCGTGGATACAGCCAACGTAGTGCAGCCATCCAACCATCCCCACCAACGGAAGGGCTTCCTTAAGCGCATGCGTTATTGGCACTACCATCAGACTGCAGAGCCAACCTTCCCCCGTACTCCAGATCTCAGCAAGGGGGGTGAGGGCAGCGCGCCTTTGTGTAGAATAAGGTCACTCCCCGTGCCCACTGTAGTCTAACAGGACAGTGTGTGCGCCTGCTGTCTGTGCCCCCAAGCTGGCTAGGGGTGTGTTGATGCCTTTGCAATAATCTTCTGATGAAACCTTTGCAATAATCCTCAGGTGTGCTTGTTTTTTTTGTTTGGATTATTGCAGAACTGGCTGCTGGTGCCACGGTGGTACGCACGTCTGTGTGGGCTAACCCGGACGAGCCTGCTGTTGTGTCTGTGGGCCGGTTTGCGCCTGATAACTTTCGGGCTGCTGGGTATGCTGAGAATGCGCCAAATCCCACGAGCATCAACAGCGACGCACACCCAGACTTCAGGGACTACAGGCTGGGCAGCGGCTCTCCTGACAGGCGGCCTTTCATGTACTTTCTGAGCGCGTCCTACTTCTTTATTGGCGCAAGCATGATGAGGAGCCTTTTGTGCAAAATGGTCCACTTTTGGTGGGTTAGCAAGGTACGGGAAATATCAGTAAAATGGTGTACACAGCACTCCTTCTGCTTCCTTGCTGATTATTTCCGACAACTGCACCTCAGGAGCAGCAGTGAAATGAGGAGACGCTATAGGCAACTAACATGTTTGAGGAGGAGGCCGGGCCACAACCAGGGTACTTGGGGAGGAGGCTATATGCTGGACGAGTGATGCATGAATGCATGAGATCCTGAGATGCTGCGTGCGCTGTCCCAAAGCCTAGCCGTGGCATTCTGTTTCGCTTCTACAGCATATAATTCTTGTTGAAGCAGTGCAAGCTAGGCCTCTGACTGTGTGTGTGTAAAGATTTTACCGCTCTTCGCGAATAAATATATGAAACGCAGGAGTATTTCTTCGGGTGCTTCCGAGCCCTCTGTCGAGAACGTGAAATAGCGACTTCCCAGCTGTTTTGGTCATTATTTGGCTTCGTTCTATTTCGCTGCAGGACCTTATGGCTGCGGGGACCACTGAAATAGATTTGAGACCAATTGAAGTGGGCACAACGGCTGTGTTTAAGTGGAGAGGCAAGCCAGTGTTCGTCCGCCACAGGACGCCTGAAGAAATTGAGCGTGCCAGGTCTGACACTGGCTGCTTTAACGGCATTTCCTATCGCATGTTTTTTGCTGACACTACCTTTGGGGTGGCGCTTCTCACTTTCCGTGCCTTCTAGTCGTGGCATCTGGTGGCATCTCTTCAGGGCGGATGACCTCGTGATAGGAACAATGAAGGATCCACAGACGGATGCGGAGCGCTGCCCTCGGCCAGAATGGCTCATCAACATAGGTGTGTGCACTCATCTGGGCTGCATTCCCATTGAGGGCGGCAGTTACCAAGGTTGGTTCTGTCCCTGCCATGGCTCTCACTACGACATTTCAGGTCAGTCTCTAAATTTAGTTTTTTCCTTCTGCGCCCATATTTTTGGCGAGTTAATGAATATAGAGTACGCACTTACTATGCGGCCTTACGACTAGGGGCCAGTCCCGTACTCTTTTTCTGCTGAGAGTGCTGCTTGGCACCGTCAGCTTAACTGCTGAAGGCCAAGTAAAACTGGAGAGATATGGTTAAATTTTTTGTTGTTCGCGTTCGCTTGCATTTAGGCCGCGTCCGGCAGGGCCCTGCTCCAACGAATCTTGAAGTGCCGGAGACGGTCTTCCTAGACGACCTGACGGTGAAGCTGGGCTGAGCGTTTGCTTTACAACGCTGTTACGGGTGACAGCTATTTCTCCGTGTTCTTCGACGCTCGTGAAAGGCTTCTGAATACTAACGGCGGCCTCGCTGCTATG